CCCCCCCAAACAAACCCACTGCCACAGAGCCAATTCCGACTCATAGAAACCCTATAGAGGGTTTCCACACTCAATCTTTACAGGGGCAGAAAGTATCATCTTCCTCTCTTGAAGTGGCTGGGGGGGTTGAATCCCCAAGCTTGTAGTTAGCAGTTCATTGCTTATCCCATGGTACCAGGGCTCCAGGATACCAAAATCTACAGTTGCTCAAGTCTCTTATAAAAATGATCTATTTTCATGTAACCTACACACAGACACATCATTCCCCCATATACTTTAAATCTCTGCTACTGCTGTTGTTAAGTACCACTGAGTCAGTTCTGACTCATAGTGACCTTGTATAGGGTTTCCAAGGAGAAGCTGGTGGGTTTGAACTATAGACCTTGTGGTTAGCATTCCAGTGCTGATCCTACAGCACCAAACCCATTGTAGCTAAGAGTTGATTACTGCATATTTACTATGGAACCAGCACTTTCTGTTCCTTCTTAACCTTTAATGGATTGCTATGATCACTTGATTGCTCCCCTCTCAACAGCATTTTCAATCCATGGTTGGTTGAATCCCAGTATGCAGGACTCCCATATAAATAGCTCTTAAAAGAACAAAATGCTCAAGGCAGACTCCCCCCCCCCCAATTAAATTAAACTATTGTTTAGTTTTAAGAAGACTTCTGGGGATATTGTTGGTTTAAGCTTTAAAGATATCTCAGGGAAACAACTTCAGGAGTTTGTCCAGGACCCTTGGCTCCAGAAAATCTGGAGTCATTGAAATTCTGTTTGGCATTTTCCCTTTTGATCAGGATTCTTCTGTGGAATCTTTGACTAAAATATTCAATAATGGTTACTGGACACTCTCCTTCTTCCTCTGTTGCTCCAAGCAATAGATACCACCTGCCTAGTCTTGGAAGGCCCCCTGCAGTTTTTAAAACCCCAGGCACTATATAATGAACAAACCAAAAGCCAAACTAACTGCCATTGAGTGGATTCCCATGTATAGCGACCCCATTATAGGATTTCTGAGACTGCAAATCTTTACAAGAGCAGAAAGTCTCATCTTTCTCCTATGGAGCTGGTGATGATTTTGAATGAGTTAGGAGTTACAAACCTAACTTTCCATGAAAGAGATAATTTAGGCATTTCAGATATGAATTCTTTTAAATGACATTTCGCATGGTAATTTATGCAGTGGAATACCATATATTCCAACTGTAGCAAACTGTATACAGGGTTTCCGAGGCTTTAAATCTTTGCAAGAACAGAGAGCCTCATCTTTCTCCCACGGTTTGAGCTTAAACTGCCGACCTTGTGGCTCACAGTCCAGTGCATATCGTATGGACCCACAGCATAATTTAGGAGAATAATATATTTATAATGAATAATAAATAAAGTATGATTATTCAAATACAATTTGAGACAACATAAATTACAGGTACTGCTTTTAACATGCAAAATACATCAAGAGGTATTAATATTACAGGACTAAAAAATATTACTCTATGATGGTATATCCTTTGGATACAGTCCTGTGAAGCCCAGGGGATTAAAAATGGTTATTACATATATTAAAGTTTTAAAAGGAGAATAAAGCCATGAATCACAAGGAAGGTTTGAACAATAAGGTCGGCACTTCAAACTCACCAGCCACTACTTGAAAACCCTATACAGGATCACGGAGTTGGAACTGACTCACTAGCACTTAACAACATAGTGCTTTAATATATCTTTTACACCCAACAAGTGAAAACACCAATAATCTTCCTAATCTGTTGACTGTTGAGTACTTTTTAAAACAAAAATAAGTTGGCAGAAAATGAGACTTAATTCATATGAAAGCACATTGTTGTTGACTGACATTGAGTAGGTCCCAACTCATGGTAACCCTGTACAGGGTTTTCAGGTACTGGCTGGGTTGTTTGAATCACCAACCTTGCAAACAGCAGTCTCATCCTACAGCGCAATACCAACACTCCTATGAAAGCACACGTCACAAAAATTGGTGACGGTCACTAAAGTTACTGTTCAAATTTAACAGAGGTAAACATTAAACATGGCAATTCTCAGAGAAACAGACCTTAGGGCAGAGACTGTTGTTATGTGCTGTCAAGTCAGTTGTGACTCATACCTATCTGTAGAGTTTCTCAGGAGTGGCTGGTGGGTTTGAGCCACTGACCTTGCAGTTAGCAGGTCTTACCCTATAGCACAGTGTTTAATGTGCTTACCCTATAGCACAGAAAGGACTCCACAGGACAGAGACTAGGCCTATCTAATTAATAGAAAATAAAAGCTAGATGGTTTAAGTGTTAATCTGAGGTCTGAAATCGATTTCAGGGAGCCCCTGAAATTTTATGTAAAATTCTGTGTTGTCTTTCATCAGATTCTCTAGTGGGCATGAAATGTAAAGAGTAACCAGTATACCTATAGAAAGGCTGTGATGATCTTACTGCTAGCGGAACAATCTCACACAGCTGAAGTTATTTAACAGCAAATACCTAAATACTAGGTACTTCATTTTCATAAATTCACACTAGATTTAAGTCTTCCCAAAGCAGTTTCAAAAAAACAAAACCAAAACCAAAGCTGATAGACACGAAAAATTATCAATTCAAAATACTTAGGTTGCCAGAAAACTACATGAAATTGTCTATTACATTCAACATCAGAGGAAAATCATGGGACAGTTTCCACTTTAAAGAGAGAAAAGTACATAATTCTGTAGGCATCCCTTTTATAAACTTCTTCCCCATTTCAAGACCTAACAGCAAATTAAGAAAAAAAATCTGATATTCTCTCTCAGAATCGTCGAGTATCAAACCCAAATGCCACTCCCTCACGTTTACATGAGTAGGGGCAAGGAACAAGGTTCTCCCAAATTCCAAGTCCGGCAAATCTAAGAGGTGCAAAGTTTAGATATGAAGGATTCTCTCCACCTGCCAAAAGGGTACCTGCCACCCATGTCTGACAAGGGGCTGGGCTACTGCACGTGATGAGCCCCGTATCTTAAGAGATGTAGGCCTGCCAGATTGCTGTGGTGGTAAGACAGCAATTCAGCAGCAGAGGTAGGTAGCATAGGTAAGACCTGCAGCTCCTGATAAGGAGCTACGTGGCACTAAGCAAACAGTGCTTTGTCTCCCCAACCCCTTGCTTCCGCCCTAACCATTTTCCCCTTTGGTTACCAGTTGCTCCAGATGCCGTACAGCAATTCCACAAAAGCGAATGAGAGATTCAGACACAGGAAGAAAAATAGGTTCCGAGACGTCTTGTCCGACAGGATAGACCTGGACATAACACAAGTGGGGAAGATCCAGAAGAGTCAAGGGGGAGCCGGGACCCCGAAGCTGCATTTCCCTTTCAAGATACCCCCCAACCTACGCGCCCCTATCCTTATGCAGGGGAGGGAGATTCCCTGATGCTCCCTCCCTGGCCTCGCGCCACCCTAAGTCTGGGCCTTCTTCCCCACCGCCAGACATCTCCTTCCCCCAAGCACCGCACCCCGCACCTAAACCAGCCCGAGATCTTGCCGAACAGATTGAACTTGGCTGGTTTGTATTCATCGTCCTTGATGGACAGAGGTAACATCGTTTCAGCCCGGCGAAGGGCCGGGTCTACTCCCCTCTAGAAGTGGCTCCGAGTGATGGTGACAGTGATAGTTGTGACTGCTCAGACAGGAATTCCCAGCGCTAATACCGGCCGCGCGCCGCTCCTAGACACAGACACATATCCAGGAACTAGCTGACTTCCGGCCCGGGCCGCGCAACGCGCCCTGGGACGGGAAAGGGGAGAGGCGGGACCCCAGGCCGGGGCGGGACCTACAGGGTGATGGGAGGGGCCTACGGCAGGACGGGATGGGTGACTGCTCTGGGGAGGTGCAGAGGATGCGGCTAGGCAGATGGTGAAGGTCTGAGAAATTGACCTGTGCTGGAGTCGTACCACCTGGACTCAGGAGGAATATCCGAGATGGCATACCTGTAGACTGAGTTGGCTGAGAGGCTGAGACTCCACTCAAGCCCACCCGACCATATACCACCTACGTTACCGGATACACTAGCATCCAGCGCCTTTTTGCAAATTCCCCCTCAATTGGCATAAAAGTCGGTTATATTAATTAGATGGCACTGCTAAAGAATCCAGGAGACGACGTGTTCTCTTGTGTCAGTCCACAGGAAATACAAGCGATGGATTTGGGTACTAACCCAATTTACTCTACCCCTGAAAACAGCGCCTGACCTTGGCCTGCCACTCAGAAGGCCATCAATAAATGTCTTTTGAAAGAATATTAAGTGTGTTTAATAGATGCATGTTTATGAAACTCCTACGGGACCGTTCTGAATTGAGGTTTGCTTAATGCATTACTCCTAGGACAATCTCAAACCAAACGGCAGAAACTAAACTCTCAAATTCTTGTCCCTTTAGCTTCCAGGTCATCACCGAAACAGCAGCTGCGGCTCTAATTTTGTCAGAACCGCATTGTGGATTACAAACAAGGGCAGGGAGAAGCCGTCTTGTGGGTGAGACACCGGAACATATGGAATACGGGAAGGAACCCATGGCCTCAGGAAACACGCCTTCTGGTGCCTTTCAAGGTATTGATTTGGTTTAGAGCACGTGATCTATCACGTGACTGATTAAAAGTTGTTACCTTGGGGAAGAAATAGGGACAAAAGGGATTGACTGCCTTTGGAAACTACAAAACCAAGCTTCTTGGGAACTGCTTTTAATCTAACAGGAAGTGGAGCGTCACAGAAAGGGAGGGGCGGCCACTCAGGGACTGTCCCCCTGCTCGGGGCACTCACTTTGCGGGCGGCGCTTTTTCCAGGTTATCAATCTAGCGAATTAGACACTGGCTTCGTTTGGAAAAAACAGAAATGAGCAAGCGAGACTCATCGCCCCCGTTTTATGATAACCAAGCTGCAAGCAAATAAATCAACTAGCCCCACTGCATTCTTCTGCACTCGAGGTAAGGAGACCCCAGAATGTTCTTGTGTTAACAAATTTTTTGCAGGGAGGATATATTCCTGTTTTGTACTCGTTCTCAGAACTTTGGGGGGAGGGCAGTGGGGAATGTTAGTAATTCGGCAATTTTATTTTGGGAAATAAAAGTAGTCTACAGTATTTTTGTTTTAAAAAATCTTCCTTTTAATTAAAACTGTTGTGAGCACAGACAGCTATGCTACAGAAATTAAGTTATGGAAAGAATCTTTCGTCTTTGCTTTTCTTGGTGTTGTTCTTGTCGTTATTAGTGCCATTGAGTCGGTTCAACTCATAGCGACCATGTATAGGGTTTCGGAGGCTGTAAATCATCTTTATGGGCGCTGAAAGCCTCATTTTGTTCCTACAGAGCAGCTGGTGGGCTCGAGCCAAGTTTGTGGGTAGCGACCAAGTGCTTATCCAACTCATCATTTTAATTTGAACATAAAAATATTTGCAACTAGGAGCATTTACTTACTTTTTAGGAATATTTTGTAATAATCTTTGTAATAATATAAAATAGATTGAATTTTTCTCTGCAACACTAGTGGAGGAACATTCCAAAAAACAACAAATCCACTGCCGAATCTCCTGCTGTGGGGTCATTCTCCCCTTAGCGATCCCATAGGACAGAGTAGAACTGCTTCATAGGGTTTCCAAGACTGTAAATCTTTATAAGACCAGGCAGTCTCATCTTTCTCCTTTGGATGGGCTGGTGGATTTGAACCCCTGACCTTGACTTATCTGCCCAGTCACAAGGCTCCTTGGGGGAGGAACATTAGTAGGATGAAAGCTAGGTGGTTTAAGGTCAACCTTTACCTGGTATTGAGTTTTTCTTGAAACTGCTTTACATATTTTGTTATGATGTAAGTGCTGGGGAAGGAACAGACGTATAGAAGTATCTCATCAAATTTCAGCATTTTCTTCACTCAAGGTCAGCTACAATTTGAGGCTGTATATTTTTGTATATGCTTGCAAAATCTGCATTTTATCCTACATAGCTATGAATCAGAAATTGCTCAGATGTTTTATGGAGAAGCAGAAACCTGCATTATTGTTGTTGTGAAATGCGGTCAAGTTGATTCCGGCCCATAGCGACCTTCCGAGGAGCAGCTGGTGAGCTTGAACCACTGACCTTGCAGTTCAAACCGCTTGGCAGTCTGGCGCATTAACCCACAGCGCCACACCAGGACTCCATTAGATTCTTTTAAATCATTTTGAAATAAGCTGGAGAAATTGAAATTTACCTTCTATTATATTATTGGTTTTCTGGGCCTCCCTAGTTAATTTTCCTATCCCTCCTGCCCCCCCCCCCCCCCCCACACACACACAAACACACACACTCCAAGCTATAAAATATTCCTGTGAGGACTTTTTCTTTCAAAAAGTGTCACTGCCATTTCACACCTTCACCCCTTTGGATGTCATATTGACCAACTTCAGTACTAAAGACATTTTATTTGCAAGAGATGGACACTATTTGAATCAGAAAAAATATCAGTAAGTGGGAAATGTTTGGCTGTTCCTCACTTATTTTGTCATCTTGAAATAATATTTAACCCATATATGTTAACCCAGATAGGTTTATTCAGCAATCATTTCATTAGAGTCTACTATGTGCCAGGTACTGTAATGGGCACAAAACTAGATAAGTCTAATTTTTCTCTCTGCAGAAACTTTATGGAAAGAAAATGATTTGAGGAGATAAAGGTAGCAGCATGCAGATCAGACCAGGATTTTAGAACTGTGCAAAGTTTAAAACGTGCACAGGGATTCCTGGGATCAGTGAGGAGGGGCATCTATTACTCATTGCACCTTCTATATATATTAAGCCATTTATTTTGCCTCTTCCTTAATTAGTATCATGGAAAAACATAATTTGGGGTAACAAAAAACGATTCTTCAGCTCTATTTAGGTGGTCATTACAGACACAGTATTTGGAAGTCTACAATCAGAATTCTTAATTCTTTCATATAAGATTAAATAGATTTGATATTTTAAAATGAATATAATACTGAAAAACTTAAACTGATAAATGGATTTCTTACCTTGAACTTTCTAACATTTGCTTATAATTATTGTTAAGTGCCATTGAATCAGTTCTAGCTTATAGTGAGAGCAGCTGGTGGATTTGAACCCCCAACCTTGCAGTTCAAACCAACCTTGTGATTCAGTGTATTATCATGAAGTGCCACATCAGGTTAGTGTACATACTATGTGAGAAAAACAACAAAACAAAAACAAGACACCAACCAGCTGCCCAGATGTGGTTAGGGATCATGAAGAATGAAAGCAGAGAAAATCATGGGATTAAGGGGTAAAAGCTCATATCCAGCCATAGTTCAGCTCCTCCCAGGCAACAGCAGAGAATAGGAAGGATGCCATCTGCCATTACTCAATATTAACATTTATCTGCAAACCTATTTTAGACCTTGAGTTTTTTAGATGCTTCAAATTGAATGACTGTGTACCTTTAGTGACTAAAGGAAGTGTAATAGTAGATAAAGGAGCCCTGGTGGTACAGAGTTAAAGTGCTTGTCTGCTACCTAAAGTTTGGTTCAAATCATCAGCTGCTCCATGAGAAAAAGACATGGCAGTCTGCTTCCATAAAGATTTGCAGCTTTGGAAACCCTATGCGGCAGTTCTGCTCTCTCCTTTAGAGCCACTATGAGTTAGGATAGACTCATGGCAGAGGATTTGGTAATGGTAGATAAAACTACTGATACATATAAATCTAGAAATTGAACACAGATGCAAATTGCTAACATGCTCAGAGGCTTTTCTCCACGACATATATATTCTAGTTTCAAATGTGTAAATATATCAGATAATTGGGATGATTTGAGTTTATTCTGCTTCTGGATCCTTAGGAGAAAGATGAAAACAAAAAAAAGAGCAGTGTTAGCAGAAACCTCACATAAAAACATTATTTACTTTAGTGACAAACTTTAATTGTTAGAATTCAGCATGGAAAATTCTCATTTCTAAAAAGAATTCTAAGCCTATGAATAATGACATTAAAAACATTGTTGTTTTCTCTTTTATGCTTATTGACAAAAACATCACTGAAAATTCTTTTATTTCCTTTAATAGTGCCAAGAGAGCTTTCTCTTATCAGTCACTGAAGCCATAAGGATATTTTTTACATTAAACTTTATCACAATGAGGTAAGTACCAATATTTTCATCTAAGAAAAATTTGTTTCTTCAGAGGTATTTTTTTGTTTTTTTGAAATACAAGTTCTTATTTGAGCCAGGACCTGTTAGAAAATGCTATAAGGTCTCTTTTAGGTCTGATCCAATGAATAATAGTCCAGGTATCTATATAAGCCAATGTCTATAAAGGTGAATTATTGTTGTAGACTCAAAAAAATCTGGAAAGAATAGAAATAATGAGGTGGACACAGATACAAAGAGTCTTATGTGTGACAGTCAGGCATTTGGTTCTGTCATGCCACTCTTTCTGGTTCAGGAAAAATAATTTAATATTCTCAATCTCAGCTGTCCCTTCTATAAAATGTGATAGTGGTGCTGTGTGCCGTTGAGTTGATTACAACTCCTAGCTATCCTATAGGACACAGATGAACTGGGACTCTTTGTACAGGCTCGTTGTCATTGTTAAGTGTTGTTGAGTTGGTTCTGGCTTATAGCAATCCTGTATAGGACATCCCAGGAGTGGCTGGGGGGTTTGAACCACCAACCATGCAGTTAGCAGATTTCCTAGGCAGTACTAGAGCAGATGGCCAGTTCTTTTATCCCATGGAGCCTCTGGTTTGAACTGCCAATATTTCAGTTAGCAGCCTAGTGCTTAACCAGAACTCCTATAAAATGGGGTGGATATATAATAATTTCCTTATTTCTAAAGATTTGAAACCTAGCTGATTGAAGATATTGGGTATTTGAGACAAGAGAGGGAAAACTTCTGACAGCTTTCATTACTGAGCAAGCTAAGCTCTTGAAGGCAGAAAATGGATCTGCCAGATCATCACAATCCCTACACCTGCCAGTGCCAGACACATGGTATGCACCCATATGTATTACATGACTGACAAACCACCATGAGTATGTTAACCTTCTCATGATAAAGTTAGAGCACTTATATGAAGTGGAATTTCTACCAACTTGAAGTTTTTTTGTATGCATTTGTTTTAGTTTGTTATCTAAGGATATTTATATCGTAATTCATATGGATGAAATCCATTCTCTTTAGGGAAATGAATTTGGAATAAAGTGAGTTTATTGTTGGAAAACAGTATTGGATAAAAGAGAAAGGGCTCCCTGGAATATTCCAGGTATCTATTGCCTAACAATCTTTCCTTCTCTCCATATTCCTGTGAGTAAAACAGAGGGTGAAATGAAAGCTCCCATATCCTGAAATGAAAAAAGTAATACATTTGCAGATTTTTTGCTTGCTTGCTTTTTGACCCATTTCTGCAACTAATTTTGCATGGCACTGTACTGAGCTATAAAAGCTTTTCTATTTCTAGACTTTCTTAGGATATGTTTACTTCTTGGATCTTTACAAGTCATAGATTCATCTCTTAGGAACAAAGTCATTCTTACTGCAGTTCTAATCTCTATTTGTTAGATTGGTCATCTATAAATATTATCATCATTTTCATCATGACAAGGTTGTTGTTAAGTGCTGTCTAGTCAGTTCCAACTCTTAGCGACCCTGTCTGGGGTTTCCAAGGAGCAGCTGGTGGGCTTGATCCTCTGACCTTGTGGTTAGCAGTCCAGTGCTTATGGCACAAACCAGTTGCCATTGAATAGCTTCTGACTCATGACAACCCTGTGTGTTTCAGAGTAGAACTGTGTTCCATGGGGTTTTCAAGGACTGTGATCTTTCAGAAGTAGATCACCAGGCCTTAGCCAGAGCACCTCAGAATGGATTTAAACCACCAACCTTCCAAATCATATCCAAGTGTTTAACCACTTTCACCACCCAGGGACTCCTTGTAAGGCTTGTTGTTATTGTTAAGTGTTGTTGAATCGGTTCTGGCTTATAGCAGTCCTGTATAGGACTAACCAGGAGTGGCTGGTGGGTTTGAACCACCAACCATGCGTTTAGCAGTCTACTACTTCTCCAACAGTGCCATACATACCAGAGCTCCTTAGTGGTGGTGGTGTGCTGAGTAGGTTCTGACTCATAGTCACCCTGTATAGAGTTTCTGAGGTAGATCTTTACTACAATAGAAAATCTCATCTTTGTCCTGCAGAGCCATTGGTGGATTAGAACTGCTGACCTAGTGGTTAGTAGCCCAACACATAACCCACTATGCTACTAGGATTCTTTGTTGTTATTTAGTTGGGAAAAATACTGGGATTAATGAGCAGCATTTGCTATAAATAAGGACGTGTTATTGGGAAGAGAGGAGTCCTGTTATGGCACCATAGGATAAGCACTGGACAGCAAGGTCATTTGAACAGAAAGTTCAGTGATTCAAGTCAGAACCGACTTGACAGCACTTAACAATAACAACAATTGAGAAGAGAAATAGAGACACAGGTAGATAGTGTCTGATATTATTGTTTTAAATGCTGCCCATGTTGGTCAATTCTAGTCTGATTAACCTATAAAGAAATGACTTGCTACCAACCTAGCTGGTCATTAATGTAACCAGCACAGAAACTCTTTCTTCACAGTTCATAGTGAGAAATTACCTGCTGCAGCAGCATCTGTCTATTCAAATGGGGTACTGTCCCAAGTGTAGCTACTTCTCAGTACCTTTTAGCAATTCTGTTCCAGGACTGTACTCTCAAAATTTCGGAATGTTATTGTTGTTAAGTGTCATCAAGTGGATTCTGACTCATAGCAACCCTGTATCGGGTTTCCAAGGAGCAGCTTGTGGGTTTGAACTGCTGACCTTGTGGTTCTGACCAACCTTGAAGCCCAGTGCCTTATCCTACAGTGCCACACTAGGACTGTAAGCTGGCTATATATGTGGCTAGTTACACTCTTTAGAAAATATGGACCACTTAGCCATAATAATTTGTCCTTAACACAGCTGATTTCAGATAAAAGTCATTTAAGTGATCAAACATATTATTAGGTGCCATCAAGTATATTCTGACTGACTCATAGCAACCCTGTGCACAATAGAGTGAAACACAGATGCTATGCTTGAGCCCACTGCTGCTGCCAACTGTGCCAATTCATCTTGTTGGATCTTTTTTGCTGATTTCCACATTATGAAGTATGATGTTCTCCTCCAGGACTGGTCCCTCCTGATAACATGTCTGAAGCACGAGAGACAAAGTCTGGCCATCCTGGCTTCTAAGGAACATTCTGGCTATACTGCCAACACAGATTTGTTTGTTCTTGGTACTTTTAATATTCTTCTCCAATACTATAACTCAAATGCATCAATTCTTCTATGGTCTTACTTATTCATTGTCCAACTTTCACATGCTATTGAAAATACCATGGCTTGGTTCACATACACCTTAGTCCTCAAACTGACATCTTTGCTCTTTAACACTTTGAAGAGGTCCTGTGCAGCAGTTTTGCTTAAAGCAATATGCCATTTGATTTCTTGGTTTCTGCTTCCATGAGTTTTGATTGTAGATCCAAGCAAAATGAAGTCTTTGACAACTTCAGTCTTTTCTCCATGTATCAAAATGTTGTTTATTGGCTCATTTGTGAGGATTTTTATTTTCTTTGCATTGAGGTGCAATCTATACATATCTCTGTACAATTGGTCATAAATAGCAAGATAAAAAGATGAATCTCTGACACCATGTGGATGGACCCTTTTATTATCATCATCTCTATCACTGTTCTGACTTTCCTACTATGTTAATATAAAATAATCAAATATTTTACATTCTGATTTAGGAAATTAATAAGTAGAATAAACAGTACACCTGTAAGAGTGGATGAGCTCTTTAGGAAGGAAAACCATTTAGGAAGCAGAGAGTGGAATTGGTAGAAGGTGAGAAGAGCTATAATGGGATTTCTGAAATACCAGTGAGAAGAATCAATTTCCTGACTATGGATAAAATCTTAAAGGCAAAGTTGACCTTTCATGTATTATTATTTGTGCCATAATGTAGTTTGTAAAAAAAAAAAAGTAAAATTCTAGTTCATCTTGCATAACAATATAATGGGGGGAAAAGTATGTCCAAAGTATGAGAGACAAAGTCTCTCCATCCTGGCTTCTAAGGAGCATTCTGGCTGTACTGCTTCAAGCATACTATGGGCAGTAATAACTGTCTTGGGCAGTGTTTTGTTCTTTTCTTTTTCTACCATTGTGCTGAAAACTCCTTTTTGTTGTTGTTGTTCACTTTCCTAACCCAAGTTAAATTTTATTTCTCAAGTTGTCTGTTTTTGTTTTTTTTAATGCTTCTTATAGGATTTAATGCTTCTGGTTATGGTACCTCCTAAAAGTTTTAAGAAAATTCACAAGGATGATATCACATTTAAAAAAAAAAGATATTCTTTCTAGTCAAATTAACTAATTCTCCAAGAGTGTTCATAGAAGCAGGATATGCAAAAGTATTTTATTACAGACTATACTTAAAAAGATATGGAAACACCAGGTTTATCAAGTAGATCATCCACAAAACTGAAAGTAAAGACGTTTCTTATGTGATCCATGCTTAAGGCCACATTTCATGACTTGCTGTTCTGGTCACTGGATGGATGAGGACCCAGGTCTTCTGTAGAGAAAGGTTTCTTGGGCATCAATTAACTCATCATTATTCTACCTTTTAATTTATATTCTTTAAAGTTCAGGCATTTCTTACCTGGTGTGAAATTTAAGAGCGTTTAAATATGAATTGCTTCACTCTATTCACCTATGAACACTTACTCAAAGAGAAAACAGTTCAGGCACGCTTCAGGATTATAAAGTGATGGAAACTATCCCCAAGATACATTCAAATGAAAGGAAACTGTTAGTTAATAATTGTAGTAACTAGGAAGAGGTCTAATACCACTACATTCAGGATTCACAGGAGCTAAGAATGCAGAGTGCTGAAAGAAACATTCAGAGGGGAGGTAATGTTGGAAGGCTTGAATGAGAGGCATGAGGTATTTTGTCAGGCTCTGGGTGCTCTGGGTTAGGCATTGGGCTGCTAACTGTAAGGTCAGTGGTGCAAACCCAGCAGCCACTCCTCAGGAAAAAGATGAGACTTTCTGCTTCTCTAAAGATTTACAGTCTTGG